TTATCTTTTAGGTATTTCAACAAACACCTATTAGACATTATCATCAAACAACCCAAAATTCATCTAAAACAATTAGAATAAGCAAAATAATAAATATATTCTAAAGGAATGAAAACGATTGAATGAGAGACATTAAGAATAATTGAAAATGAGAAACAAATTTCATAAGAATTAACTTGTTCATATCTTGGATTCCATGTTTTTGAACCCCAATAAGTCTGATAAGACAAGTGAAATTCATTTGGATTCAAAACCAAGAGAAACAAAATGAGTACTTGTAATTGTAGCATTATCCTAACCTTGTAAAAGATTGTCAATTGTGGCAATGATAGCAACTAATGCAACCTTGTTCATCTTGCCAAACAGCTCAAACAAATGTAATTCAAAAACCTGCAAACAAAATTAAAAAAAAAAAAAAAAAAAAAAGAAAAAACACTGCTTTTTTAAATATTTTTATAATCATTTTGAATCATTATTTTTTTATTAAGTAACTACTATACCCTTATTATAAAGCTACATATGATTTACTATTTTTACCCTTTTATTTTAAAAACAAGTAAACAACCACTGACAAATCATATATATATATATATATATATATATATATATATATATATATATATATAATATATATATATATATATAAAGGATCGAGTGATGATTAATTTTAAAGAGATGACACCTTTAAAAAATTGGAAAAAAAAATCTAAAAAAATCCAAATCATAAAATCGAACATAAACTTATGTCCGGAAGAAAAAATTTTGATCATTAAAATTGAATCATGGATCATAATTATGCAAAATAAAAAAATAATATTGAATCATGGCTCAATTTTAATGATGCAAATTTTTTTTTTTCCATTTTTTGTTTTCTCTCAGATATAGGTATATTCTTGATTTTATGATTTGTATTTTTTTAAGATTTTTTTCAATTTTATTAAGGTATCCTCACTGGAACCGAACCATATATATATTCTAATTAATAAATAATAGGTTTCTCATTTATTAATATTTTATTTATTTCATGTTTTTAATTATTTTTTAGGTGTGACTCATAGGTTCATATATAATTAAAATTACAAATGCAACATATGGCGATTAAAAAATGAACTTTCGAATTGAACAAAACGTTGTTATTCATCCTCATTGTTTGAACATGCATTGTTTCTTAAACTTATCAATTATCTTCTAATATGGTCGTGTTCCGCCTCCTAGACGATGTTATTGCCAATAAATGGAACAAGTGGATCCAACACATAAATTGTGTTTATACGGCCAATGGGTGTAGTTGCACCTTTCAAATATGCCAAACTTGACAAATTCTTGGTTATAACTCTTAATCTTATTATTGTACAAATGAAAGCCCATGATTCATTAATTGTGACAGATCTGTTGGATTGTTGATTAAATATACTACATCAACCAAATTGGTAATTCACAATTAATTTGAATAAAATAAAATGATAGAATCAAATTGACTATCAATGCCGCTGTAATCGAACAACAATAATGTTTGTTTGTTTAAGTGTAAGCAAACTTACAAACAAAAAATATTTTTGTTTTTGTTTAATAATTACTTTGTTTGTGTTTGTTCATTAAAATGTTAAACAAACAAACATAAATAGACGAGCACAAACGAACATAAATAATAATAAACAAACAAACAAATAATTTATTAATAAATAAGGGAGGCGACATAAAAGTTATTAAACTTCAACCTACATAAAATAATACAACATTTATTAACACCCACATCTATTAACAATTGCTTACAAGTTATATCGATTAGCCCAATGGGTTCGACAATTAGCCCAATGCGACACTAAATCATTTTAATCAAGAACATTATTGCAAAGTAGATATGCACTTCAAGATCCGCACTTCAAGGACAACGCAGACAGAAAAGGTAAGGGACTTGGGGGACTTAAGGTCCTTAAATAAGGTGCAATTGCAAACCCTAAAAACAAGGGTTTGCTTCAGACATGAATACGTCATGTATACACCACGTACGCCTAGTGTAAGTTGTTAATGATCTACGTCCAGGCTGTGGCTAGTACGTTAAGCGTACTCAATGAGTACGACTCGCATACTAACCAAGGGGTTAATATGAAAGAAATTTTACACTAGGGACCATAAGGGAACTTACCAAAAACTTGGATGTTACCCAATTCCGATTCAGTGACTGTATCGTCAAACAAGTCGTCTTCAACAAAATCGTCAACAACGGGATTCGTTCGAGCATTGAAGATATGTTCTACCAAATCCGCTCGAAGGTTATGGTGTCCAAGCCAGTCATATACTTCCGCTCTGTTTTTCATGTACATCTTCGAACTAATGCCAACTCCTTCGACATTTGGTAATTTCTCATTCTCATTGTAGCGGTAAATTGCCTTCCCCTCATCTTCTAATATCATATTATGCAATATGATACATGCGTACGTTAGGCTATTTGTTCATCTACGTTGCATAGATAATGTCGGTATTGTGAATATCTACCAACGTCTCTTCATGACACCAAAAGCGCACTCGATATCCTTCCTATCAGACTCTTGTGTTTACTTAAACTTTAACCGTTTCTCATCGTTTGGATACCATCAAACTTGTTAAATGTTCTGACATGTTACCATTGTCATTAGTTATCTCAAATGACAATAGTAACATGTGATTAGATTTAACAAGTTTGATGGTCAAATGTATATAAAAAAAATTGTTTAAATGTAAATAAGTAACTCTTTTTTTACAAACTTTTTATGACTTTTTTATAATTTATTACAATATTTTTTTAGATTGTTTTTTTAGTTCGTTTATAGGTTTTTCAAATAAAATGTTTTAAACTTTGTTTATAATTTTTTTTATATATTTTCATATAATTTTCGTACAACTGCTATTCTAAGTGTTTTAAAATTTTCTTACAAGTTTTTAGGTTTTTTTTTACATTTTCATACAATTTTATTACAACTTTCATAGAACCATTTCTAAACTTTCTTTTACAACATGTTTAAAACACTTCATAGATTTTGTATAACTTTTTTTATATTTGATTATAACATTTAAAATATATATTCGCTTAAATACAAATTTAAAACGTTGTATTAAAAAAACAAAAAGTTTATACGCTTCTAATTAAAAAGTATAAAAAAGTTGTAATAATTTTAAAACATTTACAAATAAAACCAATTGTATTTAAAAAGTTGTAAAAAAATAATTTTATAAATTAAAGTAAGAAAACAAATCTTCAAAATATTTTAAAATTTTATGAGGAAAAAATCTTAAAATTGTATTTGCTATGTAATATATTTTTATATTTTTTTAAAGACCCTACATACTTATTGTTACATATTTAATTTATTTTAATTATATATATATATATATATATATATATATATATATATATATATATATATATATATATATATATATATATATATATATATATATAATAGGTTTCTCATTTATTTATAAATTATTTATTTCATGTCTTTAATTACTTTTTTGGTGACTCAATAAATTCATATATAATTAAAAGTACAACTAGTTTTTGGTTTCACGAATAAGATCTAACATACAGATCAAAGTGACGATTAAAAAATGAACCTTCGATACGAACAAAACGTTGTCATTCATCCTCATTGTTGAACATGCATTGTTTCCTAAATTTATCAATTGTCTTCTAATATGGTCGTGCTCCGCCTCCTAGACGATGTTATTGCCAACAAACGGGTGTAGTTGCACCTTTCAAATCTGTCAAAACTTGACAAATTCTTGGTTATAACTCTTAATATTGTACAAATGAAATCCCATGATCCATTAATTTGTGACAGATCTCTTGGATTGTTGATTAAAAGAAATTGATAGAATCAAATTGATTATCAATGCCGCTGTAATCTAACAAGAATAAGGTTTGTTGATGTTTATTTGTTTAAGTTTAAGCAAACTAACAAACAAAAAAATGTTTATATTTTTGTCTATTTATTAACACCCACATCATATTAACAATTGCTTACAAGTTACATCGATTAGCCCAATGGGTTTGACAATTAGCCCAATGCGCATTAGATCATTTTAATCAACAACATTATTGCAAAGTAGATTGATGAAAAAAAAATGTCTACATCTTTGGCTTAAATCTAAAGGTGTTACAAAAAGTTAAGCTTCAAAAATCTAAAATCCTGAAATTAATGCAACTTTTTGATTATAAGATGCCAAACAGAATAAACCAAAGTATCACGATTTAGCTTCAAATGAAAAATACAATGAAAAAAAAAAAAAGATGAAATTCTCATCAGTTCATTTTCTTAGCCAATCTTGAATTTCTCCTGGCAATGATTTCAGCAGCCCAACTCTTGCCAATTTCAGTTTGAAACTTCCCTGCAGTACAACCATCAATGCACAACTTACAACCATAAAACATGCTTTTCTATTTCTTGTAATTTACTAATTTACCCTTATTTTATTTGTTAAAAAAGAATTAAATATATTACCAGCTGTCGAGAGGAAAAACTCATCTAAAACTCGATCGTGTTCTGCAATAAAATTATCATACCACAATAAATGAAATTAATATATTTTCAGAAAAATACAATAAAGAATTTAATTAATATTTCTTTTTATTTTTTCGTGACAAAAACATACCTGTTTCATATTCCAGTGCTTGCAGAATCATTTCAACCTAAAAAGATTTATATAAAAAAAATAAACGTTTTAAAAATAATTACAACAAAATGAAGACTAAATAAACATTACTTTGTCAAAATCTTTCACAAGATTTGCCTCGAGGGAAGCATTATCCTCATATTCTCTCCAGAGTTCTTGAATTTCTTCAGCTGTAATTTGTAAAAAAAAAAAAAGATAAATGGTGGATGAAATTAAAATGAATATGAAATTAAGATAAGAGTTACCGAAAGTACCCCTCATTCCACCACCAAGAACATTGCACATTTCATTTAAAGCTGCTTGTTCAAGTCTACTCTTTTCCACCTTAGGTACACCATCAGAAGGTGTTATATCTCCCACAATAGCTGTAAATATTCAGATTATGTTATTAAGTTTTAATAATCCACAAATACAAAAGATAAATCATGGAAGAAATGAGAATTAAGGAATTAATTGTGTACCTTCTGCAATGCATGCACAATCGCAATCTTGATACACCTATTCAAGTTTATACAGAGAAGTTGTGTTTTGAATTTTGATCGATGATTAGTGGAAAGATTGAAATTAGAAGAAGCAAAATGTAAGTAAATCGAACCTTTCCCTGTTGATACCAGGAAGATCGCCAGCAATTAAAGCCATTAATGCCATTCGATACATATGATCAGCGATGGATTCAGGACCCTTGATTCCATGATTGATCCATCCTTTCCTTTTTGTGGTCTATCAGAAAGGGAGAGATTATACAAGTTTTCATACAAGTTACAGACATTGTAAAGGTGCATGCACATATGAAAGGTTTCTTCAACAGATTTAAGCAAACGGAATTTTCGATTGTTATCGAGGGTTTCTACATAGAAACGATATGATGAAATCTTCAACAGAACCATACATTATAACGATATCAGGTCGAAGTAGTACATAGACAGACTTCCCCTCGATCGTTTCACCCAAATTACAGTAAGAAATGGGGACGATTTGAAAGAAATTAATCAGCATGAAACCGATCCATGCACAGGATGATAAAAGTTTAATTAACATTAGGTAAAAGCTAAGACGAAATCAACTATTTCAGTGAAGCGGCGGATGTAAATGAGTAAATGCAATTGTGCCAAACATGTACCTTAAGGCTATGGCACAAGGTGAGGAAATCGATGCTCGAAGAGGAAGAAGATGTGGCTTCGGTAACATCAGAATTCACCGCCGATCTTTTCGGTTCAAATTTGGGGATTTGACATCGAACGGATCGCAATTTACGATCATGGGACCCAAAGGGTTTGAAGAAACAAGGACGATGGAGGCGTTGAGGGTTACTGAGACAAGGGTGAAGTGGATGCGGAGAAGATGAGGATGAAGAAGAAGGATTAGCTGCTGCCATTGATGAATAGTTTGGTAAAATCTTTATTGAAGTATATGGTATGGGTTTCTTGGAATATGATGAATATGCCTTTATTGTGGGAAAAGGCGCAGCGGAAATAACGGAAGGGGGAGACTGGAAAGAAATCGAAACTTTTTGGTGTAGTATCGAAGTTATTGTCTATAACGGCGAGAAACGGAGAAAATATAGGGGAAATAGGAGTCGATTTTCTTTTCTTTCTTTTTTGTGGGCCAAGATTAGGGCTCTTTTACATTCCATATAAATGGAGATCTAATCCACAAAATCATGGATCCCTACACGCCTGCTTAGTAGACATATTTAAAAAAAAAAAAAAAAAAAAAAAAAACTCACTTCCGATGGTTAAAAAAGACCGAGACTAAATCGATCTATACGGAGATTGTATCGAAAAAAATCGGTCAGAAAATATCAAACCGAAAAAACCAGGCTCGAGGTCCATTCTGGAAAAAAAATGTACCGTTTCAACACGGATCTCAAAAAAGACTGGACTATTCATATACTGCTCAAGCCTGGTCTCAAAAAACACCAGAAGCCAATCCTTATATACATATTATTATTGTGTTGATTATAATTTTTTTAATCATATGTTATCCAACTTTTTCCCTTATTTGTTTGTTTTTTGTAATTTTAGTGTATCATTTTTAATAAATCTTATTTTATTATTTTGATGCTAATCACACACTTGTTAACGGAAAAACTTCAAAACGAAAAATATCAAAATTGACCAAAAAAGGCGCACACAAAGACTGCAAAATTAGACCGAAAAACACAAAATCTAGTCCTAAAAAGATCGAACTGAAAAAGAAAAATAAAATTCGAGAAAAGAGCAAACCGTTCCGGAAACACTAATATACATCTCTGTATGTATAGAAGTAGACTGAACCGAATGGAACATGTTTGGATGAATAACTAGTTTGCATAATGTTTGGCAATGCTAAAACATCTCACAACTTAATATTGAAATTACTAAATTATTGTTTTTGTAGTTATCATATTTTTTTAGAATTGTTTTTTATGCTCTAATAGTAAAATAATTATATTATGAATTTAAAGATTCGTTCTATTGTTTTTTCCATTTCATTACTCATTAGTTGCTTTATCATATTTTTTGTTGATTCCATTAGTTGTTTTAGGAATAACATTCCTTGTAAAATTATGAATTTTTTGATCATTTTTTAGAAATCCCAACTTATGTACTTTATGATTTAAAACATCATTAAACTTAACTTGCAAAGGATGTTTACTTCATAAACAATAATAAGATATATGTTAGCGACAGTTCCAATAAATCTATTAACAACACTAAACATATAACTTTAAATATTTTATTAGACAAAACATCACTTTATTACATCAAATCACTTGCTTCTTTGAATGTGAGACACACATCAAAATTATATATTAAGTCATCCATATTCCATAACACTTAAATCGACCATGAACTTATATTTTCTAAAATATTATTATTATTATTATTATTATTATTATTATTATTATTATTATTATACATTTACATCTATATAATTATTCGTTATTATTTATTGACCTTATTTCAAAATAATTAAACGGAAATAGGACATTACGCATCCCCTTATTTTTCTTTTCTTTTATGTTTGTGTGTAGTCTGATGACGAGGAGGAATTTGTGGCTTTCCCTCCCTAAAAATCTTGATCATAGGATACTAGTCACCCGTATTATTTTTTTTCTTTTCTTGGCAGATTTGGTGATTGTTGGTGGCTTGGTTGTGGTTAATGGAGTTATAAGGTTTTATTGTTTGTGATAAGTGTAGTTGCATGAATAGGGAAGAAATATGGTGGTTTTGGGTTGCCTTTGATGTTTCTTAGGTGTTGTTAGAGATGTAAATGGACGATGGTGGTGGTTAGGTTGTAAAGAGGTGATAAGGGTGATGAATTCGTATGGTTAAAGGTGGAGGTTGGAATGGAGGTTATGAGTGGTATACGATGGTGTTTTTGGGTGGTGACCAGCCCTCAAGGGAAGGTTGTAATGATGGGATAAGAGAAGATGGTGGGTGTTGGTGTTGGTGTTGGATGGAGAAGGGTTATGCTCCAAGTTGTAGGGTGGTAAAGGCTATGGGTTCGAATCCTCTTTATTTCTAGGAAATCTTCAAAGAGTCCAAAGAGTGAAAGTCTAGAGGTGGCTTTTACCTTTTTGAAATCCATGTAACATCTCTATAGAAATTGACATTCTCTTTTAATTTGTGTAATACATAGATTTTGACTGATTTTGACTTCTTGAACATTGAATGTTTTGTCTCTTCCTTTTGTTCCATTTGTACGTCTATTTGTATAGGTTTAGAAGAAAGATAAAAGTGCAAGTTACATGGATTTGAAATTGCTGGCAAATGGACTAAAACTTGGCTAATTTTTTAGCTTATAAAACTTGCAATTTAAGCCTTGGTTTAAAATAAACATCGACTGAATTTTGTTGAAATTGCTAAAAAATAATTTTAACTCTGGAGTGTGTCTTCAACCAAACTTGTAAATTTCCAACATGAAAAACACCAATGATAAAACTTAGGGATGTGAACTATATCCGTCAATTCCTTGTTAAACATATTTGAACTTCATAAATAGAAAACCAACTCCCACCAAAACTCGTAGAACAGGCGGTGAGGAACCCACCAAAGCAGATCACACTTGTTTTAACAAGTGCAATAAAATTTGTCAATCCATTATAAAAGTAATTCGGACTTCATGAAAAGAATACCAACTCCTACCAAAACATATGGAATATGTAGTGGGGAACCTGTGGGGCACAGGTTACATTTGTGATGACAAGTGGTAATGGAAGTTGTCAATTCATAACAAGAAGCTTGTAAAAAGCAATAATTTGATTTCGTGAGTTGAAAACTAACTCCCACCAATACCCATCGAATAGGTGGTGGGGACTTAAGAAACTTAGGCAAACATGTAAAAACAAGTTAACGAGTCGTTAATATCTTAAGAACTTTGGACATCTTAAAGGAAAGAGCAACTCTCATCAACCTATCAAATATACGACGAGGAACCCACCAAAGTATGGCAATCACAATTGAATGGGAAGAAGAAACATCAACCAAGAGATTTGAAATCAATCACCAAATCTAACGTAAATTCGCCTTTTTAAGCTAAAAATCCTATAAAAAGTTTTAAAATTGGAGGTAAAATAAGTTTTTCAATTCATTTCGTGATCGTAAAATGAGCACTAAACAGGTAATTAGTAAATGATTGGTAATAACTACTTAATTAGTGTTGATCTGTGTGTGATAACTAAATATCCAAACATCACTATAAGTGAAGTATACTATCTATATTAATTGAGGTGATTTCATTACCTAATAACAGGTGTACCCTATTATATTTTTGTCATTTGAGCATTTTAAATTTTATGATGATACATGTTGCATTCATGAATGGATTTTCATAATGAG